AAACTTAAAAATCCATCATAAATCATGATTTAAAATCCTTAAAACCAAGATTAAAAATCTGAAAATTTAATTTAATAGTAGAATGTACGAATACAACAATCTAAACTTGAGATATATATAATTAGAATTCAATTAGTTTCATAAAAACTCAATCAAACCTTCAAAATTCAATTAAAAAACACTTTAAAACCTTCCTTTTTGCTAGAATTAAAAGCTTATATATTATTCTTAAAATTTCCTACATAAAAACATTAAAATACATACTTATTCATAAAATTACAGCAAGTTTAGAACTTTATAAAAATCTGAAAATTTATTTTAAACATTAAACCTTCGTTAAAAATCAAAAACTGCCCGAAAACCATATTAAAACGTCGTTTACACACGAAAAACACTTTTTTTTACAAAAATCGAACGAGTTAGAATCTAAACGTGATTAAAAAAAAAATAAGAACGGAGATCAAAGTTGATTACGGAAAACTAAAAATTTGTTTTTATGCTTAATTAATCATTATAAATTCAATAGGAATAAAAGCCCCAAATTAATTGATCATTAGAACCCTAAAATTCCAATTTAACTAAATTAAAACCTAGGTTTAAAATTACAAAATCTGAAAATTAAAAACAACAATTATAATCTGAAATTATTAGTTTAAAACATCAAAAACATGATTTTGATACTAAATAAACTAATTTCAAGCAATAAAAACCAAAACCCAAAAATCAATTACATAAGCTTTATGAAAATAATAAGAAATAAAGGAGGAAGAAAATAAGACTAACCTTTTTGTGCGGGGAAAATTTGGGGATTCATGGGGTATTTATAGGAGAGAATTGTAGGGTAGAATTGGGCCTCATGAAAATAATGGGCCAATTAAATAAACAAATAGGTTAGGCTTTGTTTTTATAACAATGGATTGTAGGATATAGGTTCATAAAATAATTTAGCCTAGATTTATTTTTGACCCAAATTAATAATTTGAAAATTAAATTCTGGAAAAATACAAATAAATATTATTAATAAAATAAAATTTTATTTATAAAATATTTAAAAATACGGGGGATTACAGACTGATTGCAGAAATTCATTTGTGTACTCTGTTGGTTTGGGTCCAGTTTTGTCAAGCTTCTTGCTTTTGACATATATCACATTCCCCACTGCCATTTGTGTCTTTATGCCTTTGAATAACCTCTGAATTGTTGATTTGTGTACATTGAACTTCACTGCTTGCTGTGATAAAAAGCCTCGTGGCAATTTCCCCACCTTCTAGCTTCAATAGAATATCATCAACAATTTCTTTTTTTTGTGAAACATTAAGCTGTTTACTGCCTTTGGGTTGCTGCATGGCTTCTTCATGTAACACATTTTCTTCAATGTTATGAGTTCCTTCAATGGTGCTTGAATCACTGTCTTCCACATTGCCTTCATCAGTTAGCATTTGATCAATGCTGAAAAAAATCATCATCGAAAATTTTTGCCATGTTTGATAATCTAATGATGTTTAGTTCCACAGATTTGAGGACTGGTAATGAAGTGGGGGTGGCTGTTTTTTTTGAAGTGCTGAAGGTGAACCAGAAAAACCCAAGGAGATGAAAGATGCTGCTTTTGACCTTGCAATAATTATTAGGTTTAGGATGGTAGCTTAGTTCTGACTTTTGTGAACAAAAAATGGTGTAATTTAGTTAAGGAGCTTTTGGTTTGTATGTGAACTTTTAATGATGTGTTCTGGCAGCTTGTTTAAATACTCTCCCTTGAATGAAAAATTCAAGTGGAGGGAAACAATTGGTGTGAAAATTGAAAATTTTAAAAAATGAGTGAAATTTTAGGAGGGAAAATTTTTACCCCCAAAATTTCAGATTCTCTCTCCTCTTTAAATAAAAATCGGGTCCCCCCTTTCCCTCCTTTTAAATAAATTAATCACATGTTTCATTTTATTTAAACATGGAGGGAGTAAAAGACACACCAACAATGACGTCATCTATTGGTGTGTACTTAGGTTTTTTTTTTTTTAATTTTTTTTTTTTGGCTAGAAAGAAACATTCTTAACATAATTTTGAATTTTTGATCATTTTCTACATCATTTTATATCTAACATATCTTTCTTAATCCTCTATCTTGATCAAAATTTGTGAACTATATTTTTAGATTTTTTATTATATATAAAACTAATTATAATGATAGTTTAATAATGGTTATTGAAAATTACCGTCCTGACCAAATCATATTTTTTTCTCTATTCCTTTTAACCCCACTATGATTTTATAATGACAAACTTTTAAAAAAATCTGGTTTATATTAACTTACTGTGTGACAGAAGTTTTTGGAAAGAATTTTTATTTTTCTATTTTTCTATCTCCGCCTGGTTCCCTACTTCTCTTTCTCTTTCTTGTGTTCTTTTTCTCTCTCCCTATTTCTCCAACTTTTGTTCTACAATTTCGTTCTCTTTTTTCCTTACTTAAATTTGTTGTTTTGTTCATTTATTCTTCTTCTACAACCAATTTTGAGATATACGTTTATCTATTTTTTTTATTTTATTTTTTAAGGTATGTTCATCTAGTTTCTATTTTAATTTTATTTTTCGATTATAATGGCAAATGTTAAGATTCCAAAGAATGAGATAATTGCTCCTCCTACTAGTTCAAACGAAAAAATTGAAGCTACATTTTTAGAATTTTGTGACCAAATTTTTTAATTTTTAACTTTTTTGTTTGTTTTGTTGATATTTCTATGTTTTTATGCATTGTTATAAGTAATTTTAATGTATAACTTTTCTGAAAGTATGGGTCACTTTTGTTAAAACATGAGTCACTTTTGAAAAAAATAAACAAAAAACAGGTGAGATTATGGATAACTTTTGTGAAAATATGGGTCACTTTTGTAAAATATGGGTCACTTTTGTAAAAATAAGGGTTACTTTTTTTAAAAAAAACTAATATTACTATTCACACATGTGAAATGCTCGAAGTACAGTAAATTACTGTAAAACGGGGGCATGCAAAAGTTTTTGTTTTACAATATTTCTCCTCTTACATTGTTCCTAATGGTCCCAATTCATATTTCTCTCTCTTACTTTACCAAAATTTTTTATTTCTAACCATATCCATTTATATATTAAATTTTTTGTCTAAAACTATGTGCCTAAAGGTATGGTATGAGGCCCTTAAAAACGCAGAGGGGTTATTTAAAATTGCAAGCAAGTACCTATCTACAACCATTGGATTTTCTCTAACTAATTTAAGAAATAGAGGTAAAATCGAGTGTTTGGGTCAAGTTCGATGAGATCGGACTACGTCAGGTTTATTTTAAAATTGAGTCATGCTAAAGATAAATTATAGAGCTGTCAATATCTGACACGACACGACAAGACGATCAGAATCGGCACTACAAGAAAACAAAGTTAATGAGATAACAAATTCAACAAGACAAGAAACCAACCTATATAAAAGGTACGGTGTATAATTTTTAAGTGGCATCTGTTGGGAGCGCAGCAACAAATAATCGCAATATCGGGAATAATAATAAAATACGGAACTACAAATAAGCAACATATAAGATTTTTACGTGGAAAATCCCTCCTCAACAGTAAGGGGGAAATTCACGGTCTTGAACTCTTGACTCTTGATAGACAGGGACAAAAACAAGTCCACTAGCAATAATTTCGGGTATATTATGACCACCACCACAATAACAATATCAGATGCAATGTATTTTAGTATAATCAACACTTAGCACTCCTTCACATTGAGATGCTTTATTGCTTCTCTCACTTGCTAGCTACAACTTCCTCTGTATTTTATTACTTTCTCTACTTTTTTTTTTTTTTTTTTTTTTTTTTTTTTTTTTTTTTGCGGCCGTATCTTATTACTTGCTTCATTTCCTTTTTTTAAAACATTTCACAATATTTTATTATCTTCTACCCCACTAGTGGTTCCCTCACATTATATTTCAATATTTTTCACATTCTCTCTCATCCCCACTTTTACTCACTTTACCAACCACACTTACATCATACTTCCTCCGTTCCTGAAAATTCGACTCAATTTGCATTTGCGCGGTCTCCAATGAACATCTTTGACCATGAATATATTCGGTTATGTATAAGTAAAAATTATAAAAAGTTAATATTTGAAAATTTTATAACAAGGGGAGTATAATAAGATCTCATATGCTAATTTATTTATATTGTATAAGTCATTAAATATGGTCAAAATTATTTTATTTCAGCCCCTTAAATAATAAATAAGTCGAAATTTCAGAAATAAAAATAGTATTTTATTTGGTGATTTTTTATGCAGCTAGTCAGACTGCGCGACCAAAGTTGCTTAAACAAAAACTAATTAATTACATTTGGAATAGTTCCCCAAAGTCAAGTAGTCAACGCTACTTATTGGAAGTTGTCTACTCTAAATAGACAAAAACTGATCAAAACAGTCTTCTTCAATTAAAGACTACCAACTTTGACTTTTTAGTCCACCACAACTTTCAATTCCCAACCGTCCACCTTCACTACTTTCAATTCTTTTTTGAAAACTACTTTCATTTCTATTCTATTACAACAGTAGGAGTATCAAATACGAAGTATGCTGCTAAGTTGCTATAACTGCACGCTCACAAACCCTAAAGCTTTGAGCTGAAGCAACAATGGCGTCAAAGCACTTCTCCGATGTCAACTCGTTTGCAAATCTTGGAATTTTTTAATCAAAACCCCCATTTTCATCAAAATTCACCTCAACAAATCCCTAATTTCCAACTCCGATCATCATCTCCTCCTCTTCTACCCGACTTTCCACTTTTCCGAGCTCCACCATAACAACCTCTCTTTCTCGGAGCTCAAACACCCTCTCAAAAACCCCACAGACGTGTCCAATTAATCGGCTCCTGCAACGGCGTCGTTTGCATCTCCACCGTCTCCAAAACCAGAGTCGTCTTATACAATCCTCTCACAAATTCGCATCTTAAACTTCCCTCCGTTACAATTCCAGTTCCTGATCTTAATAAGATGGTTTTAGGGTTCGGATACGATAGCAATAACGACGATTACAAGGTTTTGAGGATTGTTCAGGGGGTTGGACTACTTGATGATTCCACTAATAAAGCTCAAGTCTACAGTTTCAATGATAATTGTTGGAGATGTATCGAAGGAATTCCGTACTATCTTTATTACGGTTATTATCATGGTAATCTTGTTAATGAGGGTTTACATTATGTAGTTACTCAAGAGTCGCATTCTGAGCGTCTGTTTATTGCTAGGTTTGATCTTCGGACTGAGTGTTTTTCGCTTATTGAATGCCCGAATTTTGATGGGAATCTTATGAGTTTGTTTAGTTCGACGTTTTTATTGATTGAGCTAGGTGAGTGTTTAGTCTGATGATTAATTCGTGTCACTTCAATGGTAACTTGTTGGATGAATTCGATAATAGAATGCTTGTAAATGCTGAATTGTGGGTAATGAAGGAGTATGGAAACAAAGAGTCTTGGATTAAGTTGTTATGTATTTCACAGCCGCAGACTATTGGGATTCGTAAATGTGCTAAGGCTGTTGTTTACTCTAAGGATGGTAGAAGAGTTTTGCTTGAGATAGACGGTTTGGAGTATGGCTGGTACGATTTGGAGTCCGAAATGTGGGTCAAGGTGCTCTAGTTGGTTTTGCGACTTGAAGGTGAAGATAGACCGAACTTTCAGGCGACGGTGGTTGTTCCTCTGACTACGATGATTTTAGTGAGAGTGGTTGAGCGAGTCTTCAAGGGTCAGAGAGCAGGAGAGGAGAGAGAGTCAGAGAAATTGAGATGTTTAGCCATGGTGATGGCTGATAGAGAGGAGAGAGGAGAGAGGAGTGAGTGAGTTATGGAGGAGAGAGAGTGGTCTTCAAGGGTCAGAGAGTGGGGGAGGAAAGAAAGGAGAAGTAAGGGTAAACTTGTCATTTAATCCTTACAAAGCTTCCCCAGAATAGAAACGTGTCAACTAAAAATAAATGTCCCTAAAAAGAATACGTGTCAACTAAAACAAAAAATGGAGGTAGTATAATGATATATGAAAATGACATAAACATGAACATTCAATGTACTAAGTTTTTATTTTATATTATAAACCCTTTTTGAATTATTTACAGTCAAACAAAATCTTTTAACAAACTTCATATTTGTTGAGAAAATGCCAAAATGAAATTTGTATAAAAGTACAATTATGAAGTTTGTTAAAAGACTTTGTTGACAAAATTAGGACAATAATTTGTACTTCATATTTTGTACAATTTAGGACAAAATATGAAGTACAAAATGGCGAAATTAGGACAATATTTTGTATAAAAGTACAATTATGTAAGATATTTTAATGACAATATTTGCTCCTAAATAAGATTCACTATTTTATGAACTAGTGAAAAAAGAAGGAAAAACAATTGGATTTCCTACTTGCTCTATTTACTCTCTTCTATCTCCATTTTCATAAAATATCCTATATCATTCTATAGTTAGAAAATCTTTCATTTTAACACGTTATCAGCACCAATTCCTCGGGTATATTTATAACTACTTCTCAAAATTATAACAAATAAATATTATCTACTTCTAAATGTTTTGAGGAGTATGCTCTATAATTGCCCATATTTTGGGATCTTGTATAACAGAAACTCAAACATTTACTGTACCAAAACAACAGTGGAGAAATTCTCTTATATATGAATTAATTACTATTCTCCCTTTTTTATTCATGATGATGTTTTTTTTGTTTATGCATGTTGATATTACATGCTCATCTTTTACGTAAAAATTTGATTTTAATAGTAACTTTGCATGCATATTATTAACTAAATTGACAAAAAGATGCAGTCTGTTTTTTTATACTTATTATTTTTCTTTTTTACGTACTTTTTGTGTTTCTTTCCGTTTTCGAATCCATGATCTTTTATAAATATTAGGGCTCTCGAACCACTATGGCTTGCATTTCCAGTGTGATAACTTTTTACAATTATAAATATTTATATTTGGACCATAATTTTGCCAGTACATTAGACTATTATATGATATTTTAACAGTTGTACAGATAGTAACGGATAAACCTACCTCTATAAAAGACAGATCTTTCCCCCGATTTCACCACAAATCCCTTATTCTTTCCCATTTTCTTATCCAAAAATCACCAAAAAAAAAAAAAAAAAAAAAATCACCCCCATCTTCTCCGATATGTTCCCCGACGACGGCAACCAAAACACCCACACCTTCACTTTTGAGAAAGATTTAAGGAAGATAAAATAATATTTTCTTCTAATTATGGCGCTTGTAGTTCTGTTAGTAGCAATATTAATTTTTGTCATGATGTACAAGTGAAATTTGTTTATTTTGTCGTTTTAGTAGATTAAAAGCATGTTTTTGTTTTATTATGTTGTTTTGTTGTTCTTAATCATCATTGTATAATACTAGCGTTATTATTATAATTAGTGTTACTACTGTTGTTGTTGTCGTCGTTTTGCTGTTTATGCGACTAATATGATTTATTTTTGTCTAATTATATAATTACTCACAATAATAAACTAAGGGGGAGAAAGAACTACATTATTTATGGTTTATTATTGTTAAATAAATTTAATTATCACGTGTTTCATTAACAAACTATAAATATGGAAGAATTAAACATATGTGTTGTACATATGATTTATTATTATAAACTAATTATCACGTAATTTGTTATAGTTAAAATGGTAGATCTTATGAAAAGACAATTCAGCAGGGAAGAATTTTTTGGAATGGAAAGTGGATGCCATGATAAATTTAAAAGCTCAAGGGTTGGAGCACAGTATTAAAGATAATAAAAGTCCCTTTGGTCATACAACTTATACTACCACTTCTGCAATGACGGTTGTAAAACCTGGTACTGAACAAGAAAAGGCAAAAGCCTTAGTGTTACTAAGGCATCATTTACATGAAGGCCTTAAAACTGAGTACATGATGGTTGAATATCCCAAAGAATTATGGGATTGCCTTAATGAAAGATTTGGACACCACAAAAGGGTGCTCCTTCCTAAGGCATAATTGACTGGACAAATTTATGATTCTAAGATTTCAAATTTGTAATTGATTACAATTCAACCATACATGAGATAGTATCTATATTGAGATACTGTGACCATCCAGTCACCGATGAACAGATGATTGAAAAAAACACTCACTACCTTTCATGCAAGCAACATACTGTTGCAAGAACAATATCGTGAAAGAGGTTTCAAAAAGTTTAATGAATTAATGAGTGTATTGCTTGTTGCGGAACAAAATAGTGATCTTTTGTTGAAAAATCATAATCTTAGACCAATTGGGTCTTTAGCCACTCATCATGAGGCAAATGCAACAAGTTCTTATCCACCCGAGGCAAATGCAACAAGTTCTTATCCACCCGAGGCAAATGCTACATGAAGAGGTGGACGTGGAAATTACAAAGGTCGTGGAAATTATCGCGGACAAGGCCGAGGACGTGGTAGAAGTAATTTACAAAGAAACAATAATTTCAAATTCTGAAAAACAGAAGGGACAGTCATCTGGAAGCCACAAACAAGCTCCTTCAAAAGGAAAAGACACACAAACATTTGGTAGACCTTTACCAGGCTTCTGTAAAAGGCAAAGAGAAAAATGCAGAAGCAAATTATGTTAATGAAGAAAATGCTCCATGCCCTACCCCTAATGTGTCCGATTTTTTCATGGACAATGCTGAAATTGGAAATGATTTCATCTTTGGAGAAAATAACAATGCTTAGATAACTCATCTACTAATGTAATATATAGTATGTTCTGTTATGTACTGTATTTTAAATGACTAGTCATGTATTTTTAATTTCTATCATCAATAAAAGTTTGTATATATTATTCTAAACTAATCTCATATTTATTTTATGAAGATATGGATATGCCTGAAGTTGGTTCCGAATATCAGTTGCTTTTGGACAGTGGAACAACACACACTATCTTGAAGGATAAAAAATATTTTTCACAACTAAAGTTGTTTCAGGAAAATGTAAACACTATTTCCGGATCAGCAAAATTAATTGAAGGATCTGGAAAGGCTTGTATAATGCTTCTAAATGGAACAAAATTGATAATCAATAATGCTTTATACTCGAGTAAATCTCGAAGAACTCTCATAAGCTATAAAGATGTACGCAAAAATGGCTATCATTTAGAACAATGACAACAGGTCAAAAGGAGTATTTATGCCTCACAGCAGGAAAATTGAAAAATTGCAAGCATATTCTTCGGGGTTATATCGTATAAACATACGACCCGTGGAAATCAATATGATATCTAACTAGAAGTTAGATGACAAACATTTTGATTATTTTATGGCATGATCGTTTGAAACATCCAGCAACTGGGATGATGCAAAGAATAATAGCAAATTCAATTGGAATTCAATAAGAAATGTCAAAATTCTTCGATCGGATGAATTGACATGCTGTGCATGTTCACTTGGCAAATTAATAATAAAACCATCTATAACAAAATTGCTATTGAATCTCCAAAATTCTTGAAAAGAATTCAGGGAGATATATGTGGGCCAATTAATCCGGCATGTAAACCATTTTGATATATCATGGTTTTAATTAATGCTTCTACACGATGGTCACATGTCAGTCTGCTTTCAAGTAGAAATGTTGCCTTTTGCAAAATTACTTGCCCAAATTATCAAATTAAGAGCACAATTCCCAGATCATACAATAAAGAAAATAAGACTCGACAATGCTGGGGAATTTACATCCCAAACATTTAATGATTATTGTATGTCAACCGGAATTGATGTTGAACACCCAATAGCTCATGTTCATACACAAAATGGTCTGGCTGAATCATTAATTAAGAGATTGCAATTGATTGCAAGACCATTATTAATGAGGTCAAAATTGCCATCATCTACTTGAGGACATGCTATAATACATGCAGCGACACTAATTAGATTGAGACCTACAGCTTATCATAAATTTTCACCACTACAACTTGTTTGTGGTCGAGAACCAAGTATCTCACATCTAAAAATCTTTGGTTGTGCTGTATATGTTCCCATTGCTCCACCCCAATGGACAAAAATGGGTCCACAAAGAAGGTTGGGAATTTATGTCGGGTTTGAATCCCTTTCTATAATTAAATATCTTGAACCATTGACTGGTGACTTATTTACGGCTAGATTTGCCGATTGTCACTTTAATGAAGCAGTATTCCCAGCCTTATGGGGAAAGAAAGTGGACCCACGCAAGAAAGAAATAGAACTTATTTGGAATGCAACACAACTGTTGATGTTAGACCCACGAACAAATATGTGTGAACAAGAAGTCAAGAAAATTGTTCATTTACAAAGTGTTGCAAATCAATTGCCTTATGCATTTGTAGACACGAGAAGGTGACAAAATCACATATACCAGCAAAAAATGCCCCTACACGTATTGAAATCCCAACTGATAATAAGGCCATTGAGAATGAATCTCAAGCACGCAGAAAGCGTGGGAGACCAGTTGGTTCAAAAGATTCTAAACCAATGAAATTGAAAAGATTGCATGGAATAGAAAATGAGACTAATGATGTTCCCCCGTCAGAAGGTCAAGAAAGACCAAATGTGGATAAAAGTAAAGAAAATGATGATAATCCAAAAGAGGACAAACAAAAAGACAACCCTACGGGGAATGAACAAGATGTTCAAAACATCGATAATAATGAAATTTCAATGAATTACGTCTCTACCAAGATTCATTGGAATAGGAAAGATGTTATCGTGGATGAAATATTTGCAAATTCCATCGTAATCGACATTATGTCTGATGAAGATGATGTTGAACCAAGAACAGTGGAAGAATGTCGACACAGGAGTGATTGGCCAAAGTGGAAGGAGGCTATGTTGGCTGAGTTGAAGTCACTTGAAAAACGAGAAGTTTTCGGAAAAATAACTCTTACACCAGCAGGTGTAAAACCCGTTGGTTACAAATGGGTATTTGTGAGAAAACGTAATGAGAAAAATGAGATAGTTAGATACAAGGAAAGACTTGTAGCCCAAGGATTTTCTCAAATTCCAGGGATTGATTATGAAGAAACACATTCTCCAGTAGTTAATACAACTACATTAAGATTTCTGGTAAGTTTGACAATCACAAAAGGACTGCAAATGCGATTAATGGATGTAGTGACTGCGTATTTGTATGGGTCACTTGATACAAACATTTACATAAAAGTCACCGAAGGACTAAAACTACCAGAAAACCACAAGCCTAGACAATTACTTTCCATAAAACTAAAAAGGTCACTTTATGGATTGAAACAATCTGGAAGGATGTGGTATAACCGTCTCAGTGAATACCTTATGAGAGAAGGGTTCAAGAACAACCAAATTTGTCCCTGTGTTTTCATAAAGCGATCACAATCAGGATTCGCTATTATTGCAGTTTATGTTGATGATTTGAATATCATTGGAACCCCAAATGAACTTGAGAAAATTGCAAAATACTTGATGAAAGAATTTGAGATGAAAGACCTTGGAAACTAAATTTTGCCTTGGATTGCAAATTGAGCACTTGAGTCATGGTATTTTTGTCCATCAATCAAATTATACAGCTAATTTTTGAAAAGATTCTTCATGGACAAAGCAACTCCAATCAACTTCCCAATGGTTGTTCGTTCTTTGAATATGAAAACTGATCCACTTAGACCCCGAGAAGCAAATGAAGAAATTTTGGGTCCAGAAGTACCATACTTAAGTGCAATTGGAGCCTTAATGTACTTAGCTAACAACACTAGACTCGACATAGCTTTCTTTGTGAACTTGTTAGCCAGGTACAACAATGCACCGACATACAGACATTGGAAGGGAGTCCGACACTTACTCCGGTACCTACGAGGGACACAAGACCTTGGTTTATATTATGAACCGAAACAAGATGCTGCTCTCATTGGGTATGCAGACGCTGGATACTTATTGGATCCTCAAAATGCCAAGTCACAAAATGGATATCTGTTCACTTAGGGCGGCACTGCAATATCATGGAAATCAACAAAGCAGACATTGACCGCGACATCCTCAAATCATGCAGAGTTGATAGCCCTTTATAAAATAGGACGAGAATGTGTATGGTTGAGGTCGATGATTAGTAATATCCAAGAAGAGTGTGGAATGAAAGCAATAACAGAAAATCCAACCACCATCTTTGAAGACAATACAACATGCATCTCTCAAGTAACTGAAGGATATATTAAGGAAGATAGAACAAAACATATATCCCCAAAACTATTCTTCACACATGATCTGCAAAAGGATGAGGAAATAGATATCCAGCAAATTCAGTGTGACATCCTTGCCGACCTGTCCACCAAATCACTTCCTTCTAAGAAATTTGAGCAATTAGTTCACAAAATTGGAATGCGACATCTTCGTGAACTATGCTGAAATCAGGGGGAGTATTATATGCACTGCACTCTTTTTCCTTCGATCAGGTTTTTATCCCACCGGGTTTTTCCTGCCAAGGTTTTTGACTAGGCAGTATATCAAAGCATATAATATTTTTCTTTAAGGCAACGCATACCCCATTTCATGTGAACATTCAAGGGGAAGTGTTGGGAAAATGCCAAAATGAAGTACACATGAACTTGTAGCACAATAATTTGTAGCTCATCACATGAACAAATTTAGGACAATAATTTGTATAAAAGTATAACTATGTAAAATATTTTAATGGCAATATTTGCCAATAAATAAGTTCACTATTTTGTGAACTAGTGAAGTAAGAAGGAAAAACAATCGAATTTCCTACTTGCTCTATTTACTCTCTTCTATCTCCATTTTCATAAAATATCCATTATCATTCTATAGTTAGAAAATCTTTCATTTGAACAATATTTTGAAAAATTCATTATTCATTTTCAAAAAATAAACTACTCCATTAATTTATATTTGCAACAAAGGAATATTTTATATCTCAAAAAAAATACCCTTTTATTGCAATTAGGGTAGCTAACGTGCGCGATGCGCGAGTCATAGCTAGTCATATTCGGAAACTCTTTCGGTTTGGCCTTAAAATCACAAATTTAATTATTGGCAGAATTAATGAGAGAAAATATGTTAACAACTATATTTTGGGGTATAAATGTCCAAGACAACTAACATCAATGAGAGCAAATAAGTACATATATATTTTAGATAGTACAATTGTCCAAACACTATTCATTAAAAAAACCTTGTACATTTTAATAAGGGTATATATGTACATACACATTTTAAAGGGTATAATTAACATCACATTATTCATAAGAGTAATCTTGTACTTTTTATATGGTAGGGATAGGGATTAAAAGTTAACGGAGGTATACAGTATGTTCAAATTCAAATAATGTCATGATGTTCATATTTATTGATGTGTTCATTTAAACCATTCACAAGTTTATTTACAAAATTCGCTCATACTTACAAATTCACAGAGGCTTTGGGTTATGAATTCAGATTCTTTCTTCTCTTTTATGTAATATAGGTAGTACCAGTGTGATGCCCGTGATGTTAGCTTAGTACATCTATGTCAAAAAAAAAAAGTTAGTGTTGACATATACAGGTTAGTTGTTATTAGAATATATGGAAAAAAAAACACCCCTACTTGAATATACTATCGACGGAATATTATTGTTTTAGCTGGTATAATACAATAGTAATATTTATCGCATTATATTAGAACCAAACAATAATAAATATCTCTTAACCAAAAAAATAGGTATGCGATAAAAAATTAAAAAA